AGCTCAAGGTTAACTCAGCCATCCATCTTCCCAAGTCCAGTAAAATGAGGACCCAGATTGTTGTTGGGGGCAATATGCTGACTCTGTAAACCGCTTAGAGAGGGCTGAAAGCCCTATTAAGCGGTATATAAGTCTAACTGCTATTGCTATTGCTATTGCTATTCTCCTCCAATTCCTGTGAGGGCTACAGCACCTCTACATGAAACCAGGGTCTTCTGCTACTTTACAGTCTGGTTTAAATGTTCGATGGATTGTGGTGTATGCCAGTGTACGCCAAACTCAGTTCATTTCAGTCCTTAAGTTGTGACTTAGTCTTCAAAGGGACACGAGATACGTGGGTTCGGAGTAATGAAGTTAACCAAGCTAACAATCTGGTTTTGTAGTCAAGGCTGATGGGGATCTTGATAGTGTAGGTGGGATGCCATCGTTTGGCTGATTAACTGGTGCGAGTGTGCTCTTAGTTGTTTTTCACATCTGCTATTTATGCTACTTGGCTGGCTGGGGAATTCTGGGAGTTGAAGTCCATGTCTTGACATTGTGGCCAATGTTCAATGGTTCTGGAGGATTAGAGTCATTATAAAATATCTCCGCAGGGGTGGGCCAAGGGGGGGTTGCAGGGGTTCGGGAGAACCTCTAGCTAAGATTCTGTGCACCCCCAAATCCCACTCCTGGCTGGCCCCGCCCACCCTGCCCCACCCCTCCCAGGAGTTGCCACGCAGCCTGTTTTGGATGCAAGGAAGTGCAGAATGCGGGCGGAGGCTCGGGGAGGGCATTTTTAACCCTCCCAGAGGCTCAAGAAAAGTCTCCGGAGCCCGGGGAGGACAAAAAGCCCCCTCCCCCCTGGGTGCAGGGCACGCCTACCATGGCCATGCTCACCCAGCCACTGGGCAGAGAGCTAAAATTGTTGAAGCCCCCTCTTCCTTGAATGAAACACTACTAGGTGTAGAGAGAGGCTTTACGGAAAAGCAGGAAGAAGGCAAAAGGAAGGAAGAGCTACCTCTAAATCAGCATGAAACGGAGGAGAGCTTGCCAAAGGACTGTATTTGTAAAGGGCAAGGAAATATATGTGTTCACTGGTTCGTGCTGGCTATTAAGGGCACAGGAGCTGGGACCAGTAATAAAAAGATATTATTTTTTTAATAATAGGGGTTAGGGTTAGGGTTAGGGTTAGGGTTAAGAGCCGAGGTGGCGCAGTGGTTAAATGCAGCACTGCAGGCTACTGCTAGATCAGCAGTTCAGCGGTTCAAATCTCACCGGCTCAGGGTTGACTCAGCCTTCCATCCTTCCGAGTGAAATGAGGACGCAGACTGTGGGGGCGATATGCTGACTC